CTGGAGGAGATATGCATAGATGAAGGTTCCCTGGAGAAGAATGGGTCCAGGGACGAAGGAGCAGCAGGGGTTAAAGGGGCAGGAGAAAGTGGTGGAGGCTCATCTTTGATGTGGGCAAGCTGGCTCTCACGGGTGTCCCTTACAGGTGGCTTGTTCTCTTGCTCAGTGGCATGTACTAGAAAAAAAGTCTCAACAGCAGGTTGTAGTACTGGATCGGGGGAAAGAGAACAAAAGATAATAAGAGTTAGGAATACAGAAAGTGACCTAGAGGAGATAGAACAGAATATTCTAAAACCAATACTCACCCAATACAGCACGCTGGTCATGGGATTCCTCTAGTTCTTTCAAACATTCACCGAGCATGTCCCAAAGTTCATCCAGGCTCAACTGTTCACTTAGTAATGGAAGGTCTGGGGGGCCTTTCCTCTTTTTCCTTCTCTCCCTGTTGAGGTCCTTCAGAGCCTTAGGTGTGAAATGCAGAGAAATAAAGACCAACATTGAGTATGGAGTGCCTATACAGTATCTGCTCTGCAACAATAATGGTCTCGTAGTAATAAAAGAAATAACAAAGAATTATCCATGCTTTGATAGAAGAAATCGTGCTGGGATATACATTCCTCACAATGAGATAGCAATGTGTTTCTACTACAGATTCTTTAATCCTTTGTCACTCCCAAGGCATAGAACCGTGTCACAACAGGTACCCAGTAAATGTTCCATGAAGAAATAATTAGTTAATATTTCCCTTACTCAGAGAAAAGAAATGATTTTCTCCTATTTTTCTGGCCTAGGCAATAATTTGCTGTTTTCAATGTTATTCCCCACAGTTTCCTGTGCTGATCTCTATTTTCAAAGAATCATTTCTACTATGATATCTATTACATAATATTTACTGCAGCTGAACAATACTGACCAACAGGCTGCACATCTTGAGTGACAGAGGACGGCTGGTCTACATCCATGGGAGATTCATCTCTTCGGGCAGAAACCTCTGATTGTCCTGACTCCGACTGCATAAAATGGAAATAGTAACAGGAAGTCTTGGTCTCTACTGCCCCAGGTAGGGTGGCTTTCTCACAGATAGTTTTTTTCCCCCCTCACAGATAGTGCAGAAGAAAAAATGTTGTTCTGCCTTCTCCCAGATCCGTCTCTGCAATTGGCAGAACACTACTTAGGGTCTAGAAGTCTTAAACATCTGTTTTCTGATTTAGGGAGAGGTGTCAGCCTTCCTTAAGCTTGGCCCCAACAGTCTCTCTTCACAATACTCTATAGTAACCCTTTTATTTTCCTTTCTTATTATAAGGGCTCAGTTTTAGAGGAGGAAAAGAACAAAAGCATAGGCTAGAACCAGGAAGGATTTTTTGTCACATTCTTTTCTAGTGAAGTGCTGGACAAATAACTGTTTAACTACACAATGACATAATGTCACCAAAAGATCATGGAAGAGATAGAGAAAGTAAGAACTAACTTTTAAGGGAGGATTGAATTAAAGAAGTTATTACAAAGCTTCAGATTTGAGAACATGATTTTTCTTTTCTTTTTAAATTTTCTGGTGAGGCATTTGGGGTTAAGTGACTTGTGCAGGGTCACAGATCTAGAAGTGTCAAGTGCCTGAGGTTGGATGTAAACTCAGGTCCTCCTGATTCCAAGGCCAAAACTCTATCCATTGTCCCATCTAGCTGTCCCCAAGAATTTGATTTTTGAAGCTGCTTCTCTCACTGAGGAAGAGGAAGAACATATAGTTCCAATGACAATCTCTGGAAAAGTCAATTTTGTGCAGGTTCATTTAGGGTTGGAAGGTACAGACAGAAGAAAAGAAATGACTGGCAGCAGAGACCGAGATGAAGGCATCATGTATATTTATTTTTTTGGGTCAAATACTATTCCTACTCTCTCTTAATATCATTTTAAGGGTTTTCAGTTAGAAGAACTGGGATCACACTTCAGACTTCCAAATTATGGTTACTGGTAGGGAAAAAAAAAGTAAAAAGTAGAAATTCTGTTTTCAAAGACCTTTACTCCCATGGCTGTTAGTAAGATAAGTTTTCATGGAAGAAAAAACTCAAAGGCATGTTATCAGGACTCTGATGTAAGGTCAGCCAATTTCCAATGTAACCTCCCTTAAAAACTCCACCTTTTCAAGGTTATTTTAATAGGACTTTTCTGGCAGTGTGCCTCCGTTAAGTAAATGTAATGGCTGGGCCTACACTTCACCCTTAGTGGGTATGGGGATGGAAGTGAATAAGAAAAAACTAAACAGAACTAGAGAATCAGAAAGCTTATAAAACACACACAGATAAAGAAGGGGGATGGGGGAAGAGAGAAATGAACAACTGAGAGGCCCCAGGCATCACGCTAACCGTTGCTGCTTGTTACTGTCTCCGTGCCCTTTGACCCTCACGTACCATTTGTGTAATGGCATCAGCCTCAGCCTCCAGCTGCCTGGATGCTGCTAGCCGAGCCCAGGCTAGAAGCAACTGGAAGGAGGGAGAAAATGAGCAGACATTAAGATAAAGGAAATGGAACAGTAGTCTTCATATGGAAAGTTAGCTTTGCTATAAATAATTCTAGGCTAATAGCCCTCAGTTCCACACCTAGCCTGCCAGTTTGCTTGGCTTTCTTGTTGGCCCTTCGAGTATCATCCCGAAGTTGGATGATGACCTGTAGCACTCGCAGGAAAAACTTCTGGGTGGATGTTTTGGATGTCAGCATGGACATAGAAGGTAGCTGGAGCTCCCGATCACCTAAGGGGCGTTTTTGAGAGGCCACTATCACTACATTCTCAGCAGTATCAAACCTAGGCAGTGAGGAGAAAGACCTTAAGTAAACAAGCTGCTTTGGATAATTTTCTAGGTATATGTGCAAGATTGTTAGAGAATGCTTAAGCACAATTATATATATAGACAAGTGAAGTCACCAAAAGGCTTTCAGTTTTGAGTACCATAAGGAATAATTTTCTTTTCATTCTGTCACTACAGACATAAATCATTAACAAAAGGAACCAATGTGATTTGTATGTACGTTTGCATGTACTCACCTGCTCTGCATCTTTCCTTTCAACTTAGTGGCTTGTGGCTGTTCTTCAGGTAGACCATCTGGAGAAAGAGTCTCACAATGGGTTCCACGTAGCTGTGTTACGTTGTATTCTCGAAGTTCAGCCAGAAGGGTTCCTAAGCGAACACAGGAACTAGAGGTTTCTCAAGAGTTTTATCCAGAGATAAGGAAATGAGACTGGCTGCTCAGAGAAGATAACATACCATGCTGAGAAACTTTTATAAAGTTCAGAAAATGCAAAACAGACTTTTGTTAGTCATAACCTGTGGGAAATTAAGTCATAACAAAAAACTGGCTCCCATACTCCCAATCGCTTGGCTGATTTCCAAATAAGACAAGTAATTTCTGTGCTGTAGTAACTACATTACTGTAGAGACTTAACTCAGTGTCCTTTGAGTTTCATGTAACATTTGTATCTTTCAAAGTCTTGAGACTATTGGAGCGCCCATAAGAGCAAGGAAAGGAGAAGGTGACTACTTCAAGTTAAGCAACCCTTACCAATTTGCTTGCAGAGAGTGCAACCCAGGTGTTTGGCACCATTCAAAAGCAGCTTGATTACGGTGTCTCGGGTCAAAGGATCCCCCCTAGACAGCTGTAGCAAGACATTGGCTGCATCTTCCAGACCCTCCTCTGAACAGCAGTGTGATGTCAATACCTACCACAAAAAAGGGAAAATACATGTGTGGGATTTGGGCAGGTGCAAATAATAAAAAGAGTTCTTCTGTAACCCTGATAGAAGATCCTGTCAACCACCTTCCCCTCAAAATACTTGAAGGCCTACCTCTACAGAGAGTTGGAGCTGGTTTTCTGTTAGGCCTGATGCCACTATCTTGTCAGCACTGCCACCACTTCCCCCTTCTCCAGACTTTGCTGGGGATTTGATGTTCTTAGTATTAGTAACTTTGAGGAAACAAAAATAACAGGGAACATACTGAAGTAACTTAACTACAAACTTAGTTTTCCCCACCCAACAAGGCAACTACACTGAACTTGAAGCAGTAACCAGCTGATTATTTAGGTGAACCATTTTTGGCTTCAGGTCTTTTAAATATATTATATAATAAAAACCAGATGCTCATAAAGTCCCTTCTAACCATAGCTCCTAGAAAAACCTTTGACTTTTAGAAGATTGACTCTATAAGATGTCATCTCCCTATATTAAAACTTTTCCAGAAAATGATTTTTCCGCTCGTCTGCGTGTTTCACTCAGTCTTGTGCCCCAAATGAAATGGCAGGTCCTCAAGGCATGTCACATCTCATCTATTTCCTGTCTTGAACAGATCATAGTGCTTTGTTCACAGAAACTAAANTTGCTCCTTTATAATGATTCACTTAACTCTTTCAATTGAACCAAGTTATATCTTTGAAAAAACCTGAAGTCCAGCAGTTTCCAGATATAATGAAAAAACTAGTCTTCAATCTTCAACTTACTTGAAACAGCAGTGGAAGTTGCCAATTCAGAAGCCCCAGTTACATCTAGGGCAGGAATAGGTGTGAAAGGAGCAGTGGCAGCTGTGGTGGTGGTGGTAGTGGAAGCAGTGGTAGAAGTTGTGGTGACAGCAGTAGAGGGGGCAGAACTACTAGTGCCATGGTTAGCCAGTACTTCTGTCACTTTGTTTTCTGGGAGAGCAATGGAGATGAGAGACAGGAGTCTGAGAAGTTTCTCAGTCAAGAGGGAGCTCCGTCGGATGACTGGGTGTGACAACATGTTCATGAGCTGCCCCAGTGGTGAGGCCTCAAGACTGTAAGGAAATGTCTCCCCCTCACCACCAGTGCTCATAGGTACAGACCTGATGGAATTTTTGCCTTTACGGCTGACATTCATGTTGTCAAGTTTTACCAACAAGTCCCAGAAGTCAGTGGAGATGGCACTACTAGTAGACTGCCCAGGGCAAGGGCTGCTGGCCTGTTTGTTGCTCCTCTCCTGGTCACTCTCACAGTTTGTCTCTTTGGTTCACTGTTGTGTGAAATGGCTGGGAAACACCTGCAGGAGAAGCAGGGATAGTCTAAGTCAAAAATTTATGGAGTGTATCTTAAATATAGAGAGCCAGAACAGCTTGCGTGGACTTGGAGGACAACATACCCTATACAGATTACTTGCATTACCAAGATTGGGGAAAAAGGACGGTGGCAGCAGGGGAGAGGGTACATCCACAGAGTGAATGCAGTAAAGCTAACGTACAGAGCTAGTCTGAGGAAAAATACTCTTCAAATTCAGTTTTTCATTTTCACTTTTGCTAACTGGCTTTGAGTTAAGTTCTTTTAATCTGTTTTGACCTCAGGTTATTCCTTTGCAAAATGAAGATAACATATGCTAC